GCACAGCCGGCTTCGATAGGCGGAATCTTGGTGAATCCAAGTGGGAAGGTAGTTTCCTTCTTTGGTGCTTACCTCCCACAGCCCCTGCTTGAAGAATTCTTGGCGAAATCGAACCATCCAATCTATGAGCTGGAGATTTTCCCTTTGCTGGTCTCGGTCAAGATATGGTCGAAGCATATATTGGGCAAACTTGTAGTCCATTACCTGGACAACGATGCAGCAAGGTCTGCTTTCGTTAGGGCCCATGCCTCGACCGGCCTTGGAGCAGCCTTGGTTGCTGAGTATGTTGAATTTGAATACAGATGCCGTTTTTCTCCGTGGTTCGCGAGGGTTGCAAGCCATAGCAACCCTTCGGATGAACCTTCAAGGATGAACTTCGAAGCACCCTGGCTTAGACAAGCAAACAAAGTCGAATTGGTCCTGCCAGAGCACTTGTCACAGTGGGGAATCATTGGGTGCTCTGACACTTAGCATCAAGTCACTTTGTGTCAACGTTTGTCAGTGATGGAATCATGGCCCATCCAATGCACCAGAATCTTGCTCAGCTGGAATCATGACCGGCCTTGGATTGACCCCCGACAGTGCAATTACTGGAATCAAAAAGGAAATAATAATAAGTCCGACTGTGGTGCTTTTGCGTTGACTGCGGCATTTTTAATTTGTAGTAAGGTTAGTTTGTGTAAGCAATATACTTACATGGTTACGCTTACCTTACTTCAAGTCGATACGCCATATAATTTAATAGATAATTATATGGACGGCAATTCAACATCGAAACTTCCACCACCAATGTTGAGTCAATCTCAATTGATCCTGGTTTTCTGGAGAAATAAGATGTCACTCTTTTGAAAAAAGATGAAAGCCTTATTTCTCCAAACAAAAATTTGTGAAATCTCACAAATAAGGATCAACTTAAACTCTCTTGGTTTGGTGGTAAACAAACATTGTCAAACGTTGAAACATACAACCAAACTTGGTGACGCAAACAAGTTGGCGTTTTATTTCAAAATCCAATTTCAATACTCTCGATGTGGTTTTCAACAATTTCATTGGAAACAATCCACATCGGTCACGCGTCACATCATAGATGGAAATGTTGTGGCTGTTCCCAATCAAGTGGTGGGAGGGAGGGTGTCCCTTTTAAATAAGGGCAATTTTTGTCACCCACCCCGTTTTTCACTCCCACCCAAAAATTGGGGAATCATCGGGTGCTCTGACACTTAGCATCAAGTCACTTTGTGTCAACGTTTGTCAGTGATGGAATCATGGCCCATCCAATGCACCAGAATCTTGCTCAGCTGGAATCATGACCGGCCTTGGATTGACCCCCGACAGTGCAATTACTGGAATCAAAAAGGAAATAATAATAAGTCCGACTGTGGTGCTTTTGCGTTGACTGCGGCATTTTTAATTTGTAGTAAGGTTAGTTTGTGTAAGCAATATACTTACATGGTTACGCTTACCTTACTTCAAGTCGATACGCCATATAATTTAATAGATAATTATATGGACGGCAATTCAACATCGAAACTTCCACCACCAATGTTGAGTCAATCTCAATTGATCCTGGTTTTCTGGAGAAATAATGAGGGTCTTTCATTGCGAGTGCAGTTGCTGAATAAGGTTTTTCAAGGACAGGACAGTTCGGATCTGATCCGTCAGATTGAGCTTGCATGTGCTAAGTACACACGCATGATTTCCACGTTGTTGGGTGACAGTGCAGGATTAGCGATTGGGGATTCTGACATGTTGACCATGCTGGTTCGTTCGTTGCATAATGATGTAAGAAACTACTGTTTGATGCATAGTAGTGGGGAATCATACTCAAGTTATCGACTTGCTGCACGTCGGTTTGAACAACAGCACAGGCTTTTCAAGGACTTGAATCTTCAATCCAGGAAGGTTGTTGCAGGCTTCCGGTGGTCGAGGAAGAAGAAGGTGAGGAATCCGAATGTTCTGGGGATCCTGTTGTGAATGCTGCATTGGACAAGGACAAATCTGGACCACGTTGCACAAAGTGCGGAAAGCGTCATGATGTGTCCATGTGTTCAACCAACATGGAGAAAGTCAAATGTTACAAATGCGGTAAGGCAGGTCATATTTCCTTGAACTGTCTCGTGAAAACTGGTGAGAAAGATGTTTCAAAGGGATCTTCAACTGTGAAGAGTGGCAGCACTAGTGTTGCCCCGTCAACATCTAAGAAAGGTGTCAAAGGTTCAGGCAAAGGTACTGGAAAGTCGGGCGGAAAGAAAGGAAAAATGTTTGCGATGGTCGATGACAGTGGCACTTGGTGGTACTCTGAAGGTTGGTGTGACGATCAGCCTGTTGCGGAAGAGGCGAGTGCTGAACCTGATGGCCAGCAAAAGCAAGATGTGCTTGTTTTGAGTGCTTTGGTTTCTTGTCCCGAGGTGCCATGTTTGCCTTGCGAACCTTGCATGGTTGACATGAGTTTGGAAGATGATGACGGTTTGTATGTTGAAGATCACTCTGAGGGGTTTGACTTGTGCTTGAACCCTGCTTTGACTTGTTGTTGTCTGAATTCCAACTTTCATGACATGCATGACTTCTGTGACATGTGGCTTGATTGTGGTGATCTTGGTGCATGGACGTTTGAAGCATGTTGTTGTGACTTGAACTTGCTTGCATGGACGTTTGGAACATGTCGTTATGATTTGAACACGTTTGTGCATGTTGGAGTTGATTCTGTTTGTGAACTTGACCCTATTGATGAGAAAAATGAGCCCAATACGCCCAGCACACATGGTGTGCTGAAAGCACGAGAGTCGATGACTGAGTGTTGCGAGACTGAAGGGCACATGGTGTCAAAACCATGTGAGATGATGCTGAATGGCATCGGTCCGGGTGAGTCTTTTTGGCTTCTGGATAGTGGTGCTAGCATGTCTGTTGTTAGCCGAGATGTTTTGAAACAGTTCATTCAACACTCTGAAATCCACAACGTAGGGCCGTTGCAAGCTGCTAATGGAACTTCAGTTGATTTGGAAGGTAGTTGTAAATTGCTGTTGCAGATTGAGGTTTTGGACAGAGACGGAAACGTGAAACCAGCTGTAATTCCCTTGGACGTCATGGTAGGGAGAACGACATATCCTATTATCTCTGTTTGCAAGTTGACACAACAGGGTTGGGACGTGACTTTTGACCAGGACCATGTTAGGATGTTTCATAGGAAATCCCAACATGTGGTTCGTGATTTGTCGTTTTGGCATGACACACCATGGATTCGTGTTGTTCCATATGAAGGGAATGATGTAGCCCTCAATGTTTCTCCGGTGGTTGCGGATAGTTTTCCAAAGGGGGACACGGTTCGTGCCTTGAGCGCGGACCAGATGGTGCAGCACAGATTCAGAGGACATCGGCCCTATGAGCCGACTTGCGAGGTTTGTCAGAGTTGCCGTGGAGTAACTAAGCATTCCCGAAAGAAAACCCCCAAAGGAACTGAATTTGAAATTCATGCTGATTTTGGTTTTCTCAACAAAGATTTTGAGTGGGTACCGGAATCTGAAGACAGTGAAAGGGGGAATGTGAAGTTTCTTGTGCTTCGTGAATCCTATAGTTCAAGCATTGGTTGTGTTCTTATGACTGGTGATCGACAGAGGGATAACCGCCAACTTCAGAAGTGGTTGTTTGAAATGGGTTTATGGGGTAGCAAGGATCAACATTCTCTGAGGGTAATCACGGATGCTGAGTCTTCTGTTGGGAATTTCATTGCATCAGCAGGGTTGCCAATGGGTGTTGTGGTTGAAAGGGCACCACCACAAGGGCATCAAGCAAATGGGACTGCAGAGAGAACTATTCGGGAAATCAAGGAGAGTTTGAAAACGTTGCAGTTGGATTTTCATAAGATGGGATATACTCTTGTTTTCAGTTCCTTGGTTTTGCAGTGCTGTATGAACTACATTTGTTTTGCCCACAACTATTTCACGACTGTTCAGCAGTCCAGCCGAACTCCAAGAGACTTGGTGATTGGGGACAAGGCCAGGAATCATGCTTTCGCACTGTTTGGATGTAAGGTGTTAGCCGAAATTCCTGAGTCAGTCAAATCTAAGAATCCTAATTTGCCAAGATTTGTCGAAGGGGTCTATTTGCATCCTGAGTTTTCGTCAATGGGAGTTTGGGTTTCTGCAAGAATCCGCATTGGTTCAGAGATGGTTACCCAGCGTTTTGTTGCCAAGTCAATCAAACTTTGCATGCCTGTTGAGATTCTTGATGGTCATGGTTTGTTTGTCAAATTGGTAGATGAACGTAGTGGATTACCAGAGGCGCCAAGGTCTTCAGAAGAGGTTGCGACTCAGCGTGCTGATGTAACCTTATTTTTCCTTGCTCTTAAAAGAAGTTGAAAGCAACTTCTAGCGGACTCCTCTTGCGCGCTCCTGTGCGTTCTACGCGTCTCCTTGCGTTTGTGCATTTGGGTTGTGGTTGTGCTGGGTTGGGTTCTGGACTATAGAGTCCTCCTGGTTACGTTGTGGTTTGAATGCAAACCTTTCTTATTTCTTTTTGAAACCCTTCCCTGTTTCAACCACCTGTTTTATAAACTGGCTGTTGAGTGCAACTGCCTTCTTTGTCAGGTTCCAACCTTACGCAAGGATGACACGCACAATCGTGTTTGAAGAAATCTCTGTTTACACAATCAGTTGTGGCTGTTATTTCTAGTGGTCTACGAAAATATATGTTTTCGTGTGGCCGTTGTTTTTCAAGCAGCGCCTCCAAAGGGAGGGAGGGTGGGTTCCACTTTATTGTGGACTACGTTTTTTCTTCTTGAGCTGCCATGGGGTGTAATACAGTTGCCCTGGGATCCTAACAGATACGACTACATCTGCATTCATTCTTCATTTTGGCTACCTGTAACATTGGGATCACTCACAGTCGGGCCATTTCGTTGAGGTGCGGAGTTTTGCATTTTTTGGCCAGAGGCGACTTTCGGACAGTCTGTTGCACATGTGACGGCACTTACATTGATAGCCAGGACTTTTTGTGGAGGTTGGATGAATATTGACAGTCAGAGCCAGAGTGAGTTGCCTGAGACTGATAGTTTTGTCGCCTTGCTCAATACATCGAATGCTGGATCCTTGGAGGGCTTGCGAAACCCCAGTGCTGCAGTTTGCAATTCAGATGTTATTTTCTCTGCTCATGATTCACCTGAATTTGGGAATGAAGTGGGTTTGCTGCATGGGTCTGGAGCTTCTGAACCTGATCATGGAGGATCGTTTCAGGGTTTGGAGACCTTTGAGAAAGCCTCATCCTCAGTTGATACGCCAGCAACCCGTGCAGATTACAACAAAGCTTTGTTTGAGGCACGCATGAGTACTATTGGTGATGCCGTCATAAAGATGCCATGGGAAACAGGAATCATGAAGCAGATTTTCGATAGTGATGATGATTCAGTTTTTCCTACAGTTGTGCCACCGGTACCTGCTGAATATTTTGCGATACCACCTGGAACGGTCGACGAGCAGACAGGGCAAGGCACTGCAGCAGATGTGCCTACGGCCCAAAGCTTGGTGAGGGATGACATTGCGTTGCCATATTATTCATTTGCGGTGAAGGTTTTGCCAGACAGAGATATTTTTGCGGAAGACACGTTGCTTTGGGACAAGGCCCTTCAGAAGTGGTTACAAGTCTTTGAGGTTTTAGGCTTTCCAGGAACGCTTGGGTTATCTTTGCTTGCAGAGCAGGCATATGGTGCGACTGGAGCTCAGAGTGATGCTTTGAGAGATGCACTGGGAATCAAATCACCCAGAACTGCAGTTAAGAGGGCACAGACACTGTTGCGCTACTTTGCATGGTTACAAACGCAGTCGGCAGATTGGGAACCTTGGGACCGTTCTTGGTGCTTGAAATATCTGGGTTCAGTTGGCTCGCATGGGGTGCCGGCATCAAAGGGCACAACGCTGTTGGAGGCGCTCAGATTTTCGAAGTATGTGCTGGGAGTGCCAATTCCAGAGGGCCTGATTTTGGATCCTCAGTTGAGAGGCAGAGCGCAACGTCTCATGGCTTCCAAATCATCTTACAAACCTGCAAGGCCGCTCAAGGCCAAGGAATTGGCTGCACTGGAAAAAGCCATGGCTTCAGATCTGGATGTGAGAGACCTTTACATGTTGGGTGCAATAATTTTTGCGGTGCTGTCCAGGTCCAGGTGGTCGGATCTGAGGTTTGTGGATCAGTTTTGGGTGGAGCGTGCAGAGTTCAACGGACAGCTTTTTGGGTTTGTCGAAGCTAGAACTAAGTTCCACAAAACTGCAACAAGCTTAGCAAAGAAGCAACGACACATGCCCCTGGTTGCGCCGTTGCTGGGAGTGACGGATGTTGATTGGTCAAAGCACTGGTTAGCAGCCATGCATGAGCTGAACATCGATGCTGGCCATGAACCTTTTGGTGCAATTTGCAGGGCACCAGCGCATGATGGCAGCCTGTGCCGCAGATCTTATACTACGGAGGAGATTGGAAACTTTGCAAACAAATTTTTGAAGACAGATGGTGAGAGTGCGATTTCTTCCCATAGCTTCAAGCACACCACCCTGGCATGGTGCAGTGCCTACGGGTTGGATGAGCCGTCACGTACCTTGCTGGGTCACCATGAGTTGCAGGGTGCAAAAGCTATGGCGGTTTATTCACGGGACATGTTGACCCGACCTTTACAACTCTACTGCAGCATGTTAGCAAACATCAGACAGGATCACTTCAGACCAGACGAGTCCAGGACGAGCCGCATGGTTGACCTCATGAAGATTGCCGACAATGCTGCAGTTCCTTTGGAAAAACATGCTGGTGCACCTCCTTTGCAACCAGCCGCTGTCGAAGTTTGCGACGATGGAGGCGCATCTTGCGTTCCAACAACGCCTTTGGAACAGGAGACTCAAGGTGCAGCTGCAGATGACGCTGCGATGAAGAATCCAGTGAGATACCTTCGACGAGCTCGAGCTCGAGCAGTAGTTCAGACGGAGCAGACATGCCAGCTGCACAGAATGATATACCAGGACCGGTTTGGAGGAATAGGCGCAGTCATGTAGTGCACAGGTGTTCACAGTCAACAAGGTCAACTGCATGTGGCAGGTTGGCAACTTCGAGCAACTTTGAACTGCTTGAGGAAGGCTGTTCCTCCTTGAATGCAAGGTGTGGCAAGTGCTTCAAAGGTGAAGTCATTTCGAGTGTTGGCGGGCTCATCGCTGTGTTGGATCAGCAGAGAGCCAAGAGGCCCAGACGTTGATAGCGAGCGCGCTTTGGTGTGAAAATTTCCTGGGTACGGTTTGTGGCCTCCTCAGTTTGTTGCTCGTTGTCCAGCTTGTCATTTTCCTCAGTCAGTTATCTTTTCAATGTTGTAATAAATGTTCACGTTAACATGCATTTGGATTTATGTCAGATGTCAGTTGAGAGCAGCTGCACGTTAATTTTTGATGAAAGCATCTTCGATCCGAAAGCGGAATATTTTAGATATGGTGCAAACATGACTGAAAGCAGTCATCGGGATGAAGCTGGTAGTAGCAGCTTTAAAGATTTTGGTGCGGAGTTGAGTGCAGCTCTGTGCATGGACGGCTCAAAGGAGCAACCTGATGTTTGAGTCGGGGCATGAGCTTGACAGGACTTAAGCAGTCTTAAAAAAAAAAAATAATAATTGAAGCCAGCGATTCAGTTTCACAGGTTTGGCTGTGTTAATTTTTCGAGATGCAATGTGTCACATGCAATTTTGGGAACTTGAGCGGATAGAGCGTCCTTTAGGTGAGCGATGGCAGCTTCTTCCATTATGGATTCAGAGGGGACCTTTGGGCAGCAGGCTGAGGATGCTGGCTTGACGTAGCCTTGGATTGATGCGCTGCGCAACTACCAACTCGCAACTTTTGCCAAGCTCAGCTTGGCAGTGACTAGCACGGGAGTTGTGGCCACGGATGAGCAGGTCACACGGTTTCTCAATGCAATGCGAGATGGTACTCCAGCTACAATTGCTGAACTGGCTGCGTTCAAGAGGCTCCTTTTCAAAGCCAGACCTTGATGATGCACAATTTCAAATCGGTTGCAAAAAGCGATGACGCAGCTCCAAAGCGCGTGGCTCCACCTGAGCGTGAGGCCAGATTGGAAAGACAACGGCAGCAGCTTGCAGGGCTTGACATTACAGGCCCTTTTGCAACCTGCAGATTCACTCTATGATATTTACAACGGTATGATCGAGAAGAACGAGGTGTCCTACATCAACCCCAACCGTTGTCTATCGAGACGGCAGGAGCTTATGGGGTTGAAACCTGAAAAATGAGATACAGTTGGATGCCACCAAGACTTCGCTGGTTGTAAAAGAACAACAGGTTCGTGCAGAGATCAGTATCGGTTCAGACTTTGCCTTGTATCAAGCTTTGCAGAGGCGCACAATTGCAATGGACTTGACATGTTTGGCGTCCTACGAAGTCATGCGGAAATGGGTTGAGAGAATGTTTGCTTTGTATTTTCAGGCTCCTGCGCCGGAATTTCAAAGGGTCACACAGGCCCAGCTTCTCAGGGCCGATAAACAGGCCTTTGTGCGGCTTGGCGAGTAGTTCGAGGGATCACTGAAGTCGTTTGCAGGAGCTGGCAAGCCTCTGGACCCTTTCATTGCGCGCATGGATTCAGACATGACGGTGACATATTTTATGTTACCGATTCCGGTATCTCATGCCGCTAGTGGAAGCAGTGGCGACAAGGCGGACAAGGACAAGAAGCGACCTGACGCTCCAGCGGGCAACAAAGGTCAGCCGGGTGCAAACAAATTTCAAAAAGGTTTTCAAAAGGTGACCCAAAAGGGTAGCAAAAGCAAAAGGCACGATCCAGTGCCGCAATCGTTGAAGGGGATGCCCTCCAGAACTCCTCAAGGAGATCCAATCTGCTTTGGTACAATTTGGGCTCTTGTCAGCAGGGCGCATCGTGTCCCAGGAAACATCTTTGTGCAATTCCTGGTTGCTACAAAAGCCATCCTCAAACGGAACATCAATGAGGTCGTGCAGACGCTGATGGAGTTTCACAAAGGGCAGGGAAACGCAAGTTTCAAGCTGTCGACAATAAACAAGTCCCGACAAGTTATAGCTTGGAATTATTTAGTGGTACAGGTAACCTGACCTATGCAATGAAACACTTGTTTTCAGATAGCTTCGGTGTTGATCACAAAGTGACCACACAGCGAGCGAAGATATTCTGCTTGGATTATCGAAGGAGGATCATCAGATCCTGGTTGAGCAGTAGACCTTTTCGGGCAGATGTCTTAGGGTTCATTTTGGAGTGCCATGTGGCACAGCTTCGAGGGCACATTTCAGAAGGATCAGCAAGTTTCTACGTCCATGCAAAAGCAAACTGTTGCGGCAGACTCCAAAAAAAAAAGGGGGGTGAGTCCCGTCTGTTCAAATTCTCGCTGGAGCAGACACCAGCGTTTCAAGCACTGGCAGATCTCTATCAGTGGGCCATCCTTTTGCTTTGGTGGGCCATCCTTTTGCTTTGCTGTCAGGATTGCCGGAGGAAGTCAAGAATGCTTGCATATGCGTGGCAGAGTGCGACACACACGACATAATCAACAACAGATGCAGCAACCTGGGAGAGTGGCTCGGTTTATCAAAGTCTTTGCAGTTGGAAGAGGCAGCATTTAAGTCTGCGATGCCGGAAGAGAGGGGACGAATTCTGGAGAGTAAGAACTTATGCCTTATGAAGCACATCATCTGAATGAGGGCTATGACGACAAGGAGCTGGCTTCTTACCTGGAGTTTGGTTTTTCGTTGGTTGGCGAAGTCCCGAGCTCTCACGTCTTGCCGGCCAAGTTGCTGCCTGCGACTTTGAGCACTACAGATTTGACGGTTCAGTCCAAGAAGTCAAATGTTGCGTTGCGGTACATGACGCGCAGCAGTAGCTCTTCGGAGTTGGGTGATAAGCGTAGGGAGCGTACAACGTTGGAAGCAGAGCGAGGTTGGCTCGTGGGACCGTTGGATTGGGATTCACTTGACGAGGGCTCTATTGTGTCCCGTTGTTTTCCCGATAGAAAAAGCGGGAAAAGCTCGGCCTATTGGTGATTTTTCTCAGAGTCAGATAAATGCTACTGTTACCTGCTCCGAACAAACCACGGTGGACGGACCAGATGTCATATTTGCCTTCGCAGTTTTCTTGATGCGTGGTTGCTTGAAAAAGGAAAGTCAACCGCCATCATGGGGAGGGCCCTTGATTTAGCATCGGCCTACAGGCGACTTGCGATTTCAGACAATTCAAAGTGCGATGCTTATTTGTCAGTATATTCCCCTGCTGGTGGCAGGGCTGAGCTCTTCAGGCAGGTGGCGCTCCCGTTTGGGTCCAGAACTGCAGTCAATGCCCTCATCCACCGTGTCAGATTTTGCAGTGGGTGGCAGCGAGATGTTTGGAAAACCCCTGTCTCTTGCTATTTCGACGACTTTGTCTTTCTTACGTATCCGGCCTTACCATCCAATACTCAGGAGGCCATGTGTCTGATGTTGGATATCTTGGGTCGGAAGTTCGACTGTGAAGGAGACAGTGGCCTTTGTGGAAAGCATCATAGAAAGCGGCAAGATGGACAAGAGGCAAGCCCTTGTTTTGAGGGGCCGTTTTGGCTTTCTGCGGCGGGTATATTGCTGGCCGTCTGGGGAGAGTCGCCTTGCAGAATATAACAAGGCACGCTTACAATGTGCCAATTTTCAAACTGACCTGTCACCCAGCCTTGCTGTCCCTTTACAGCTCCTGAGGGATCGCGTTCTTCATGGAGCGCCAAGACAGTTCACATGCATGTTGCTGGAAACAATGTATTTTTTCACGGATGCTAGTTTTGATTTACAGAAGGGTGCAGGCTTGGGAGCAGTTTTGGTTTCGGGTGCGAGCTTTGTGATTTCGGGTTTGGCCTATGCGTTGGCACTGGCGAAATATCGCTTTTCCTCCCGGAGGGCAGGGAGACAGCCATTGGTGAGTTCGAGACCCTTGCGGTTACTATGTCCTTAGTTGTTTTGCATCTGCTTCTGAAATCTACGCAGCTAGTTTGTACATCGACAATGAGGGTGCAAATTATTCCCTTATCAAGGGATATTCCTCTGCGTTGGCTGTTATAGCCATATGCGCCCTTACGGCCGCCTTCTTGGACGCCCACTGCATTTTTGCCCTGGTACCGCCGTGTTCCTTCAGCTTCGAATCTTGCAGACTGTCCCTCCAGACAAATAAATCACCCCCTCTTGAAAGAAGAGATGAAAATCCCTGAAGGGGAAGCCTTGAAACCTTCAGTTGCAGCATGGAATTTATTTGTCTGGCGAAAGCGCCACATGAATCATGGGTGGGGGCCGTGGCGAAAGCGGGCGGCGTGAAATCCCCCATCTATAAGTAAAGAATAAAAAGAGACAAATAATATAAAGTCCGAGTGATTCCATGCTGTGCAGTCGTCTTTTAAGTTTGAGTTATTTTTACTGTTTGAGAAGAGCTGGCCGAATTTTCGGATCATATGGTTTTTATAAATTAAGGAAATATATGCGTAGAAGATATAAGATATGTGCGCGACATTTGGATGTCTGCGGTTTCAGGGTTTTGGAAAAATAAGTTGCGACTCAGCGTGCTGATGTAACCTTATTTTTCCTTGCCCTTAAAAGAAGTTGAAAGCAACTTCTAGCGGACTCCTCTTGCGCGCTCCTGTGCGTTCTACGCGTCTCCTTGCGTTTGTGCATTTGGGTTGTGGTTGTGCTGGGTTGGGTTCTGGACTATAGAGTCCTCCTGGTTACGTTGTGGTTTGAATGCAAACCTTTCTTATTTCTTTTTGAAACCCTTCCCTGTTTCAACCACCTGTTTTATAAACTGGCTGTTGAGTGCAACTGCCTTCTTTGTCAGGTTCCAACCTTACGCAAGGATGACACGCACAATCGTGTTTGAAGAAATCTCTGTTTACACAATCAGTTGTGGCTGTTATTTCTAGTGGTCTACGAAAATATATGTTTTCGTGTGGCCGTTGTTTTTCAAGCAGCGCCTCCAAAGGGAGGGAGGGTGGGTTCCACTTTATTGTGGACTACGTTTTTCCTTCTTGAGCTCCCCACCCACCCTACAAATTGGTGACAGCACCCTTTATCCTCTTGTTCTACGCCGAAACCCTTGTATAGCTCTGTACAGCTCTGAGTTTCGTGCTTTTACTCCCCCGAAAGCGGGCGGCGTGAAATCCCCCATCTATAAGTAAAGAATAAAAAGAGACAAATAATATAAAGTCCGAGTGATTCCATGCTGTGCAGTCGTCTTTTAAGTTTGAGTTATTTTTACTGTTTGAGAAGAGCTGGCCGAATTTTCGGATCATATGGTTTTTATAAATTAAGGAAATATATGCGTAGAAGATATAAGATATGTGCGCGACATTTGGATGTCTGCGGTTTCAGGGTTTTGGAAAAATAAGTTGTTGTTCCTTTGCCTTCAGACTTGAAATGTCCTGCAACTGGGCCACCAGTAAAATGGCTCGATGAACATGGAGTGTCTTTGAAATGCTCTGCATGTAAGGAGATTGAAATTAGAGGGACACGAGGGAATAAGAATCACTCTAGGGCCTGTATGGAGCGGTATGAGAATTGGATTCGCTCTGAACTTAACCTTGCACGGGGCTCCAAGCCTTCTGATAGTGAACCTAAGGGTGAGCAGGAGGTGAAAAGGAAAGGTTCCGGTAGGGAGGTTTCTGACCTTGGTGGTTCGGAAAGCGTTCCTGTGTCTCGTCAAGGTGCCTTGGATTCCTTTGAGGAACTCGATCCTCTTGCGTTTGATCCACAGGATGATGTGTTGACTGGACCAACCGCTGAACTTAAGATTGAACCCAAGGTTGAATCCCAGGAGCCGGTGGATGTGAACCTTGGGGGTGGGGAAGGGGGCACGTCCCAGGCTGGGAGTTCTTCTCAGTCTGGTGGTGTTTCTCGACCTGATTCTCTTGGTAGCTACTCTAAGGCATCTGTTGAGGCGGCGACAATGCATGGCTTGCTGAATTATGCTGCTGGCTTTGTGGTTGGCCGATGTTTGAAGCCATCAGCACGACAGTTTGGAAATTTGCAGTCGGGCTCATCAGACACAGAGCTCACTTCGCGCTTGTGCAATGATACTTGCAAAATCATTAGCCGAATGCGGCCACGTGAAATTCGTTCCTTGAGCAGTGACCGTCCCGCAGTGATTTACACGGACGGTGCGTACGAGAATGGGAACGGAACCTGGGGTGCTGTAGTAATCATCCCACAACTTGGCATTAACGCCATCCACTGGGGGACTGTTGGCCCGGTCCTGATGGAACACTGGACATCACTTGGACTTCAGCAGAAAATTTGTCGAATTGAGTTGGTTGCAGTTTTGCTGGTGAGGTTTTTTTATCGCAAGGAGCTATCAAATTCTTCAGCACTGTATTTTATCGACAACGAGGCTGCACGTTACTGCTTGATCAAGGGGTCAAGCCCTTCACTGTCCATGTACAACATTTGTTGTGCAGTGTCCTTGGTCGAAGCCGAATATCCCTCCGCTTCATGGTATGAAAGGGTGGCCTCAGAACCCAATATTGCTGACGGGCATCCCGTTCCAAACTGAAAGAATGCCAAACAATCTCGGGAGGAAACCTTGCAGGCGATATACGTTTGCCTGAGGCGATGCTCTTGGAACTGACCAGAAAGTGAGGCTCTTTGCATGTCGTGAAGACGGGGGTGACAGGCGACATGACTTGTTGACCTGGAAAAAATTACCAGACACTTGACTTGTGTTTGTGCGGTTTCACCCCCGACTCAATTAAGATAAGCCAAGACAAAAAGTGATATCAAATAAATTTTGAAGTTTGATTGCTTCACCTTGCGCGTTGCGGTTTACGTTTGTTTGAATAAGATTTTTTACTTTACAAAGGGACGAGCACAAACGTTTGGCTTCAACTTGTTGTGGCATTGTGGCCTTTGTTTGTTGGGAGTAGTGAGCCCGCGAACGTACCGCATGTAAAGAAAAATGATGAACTGAAAACCAGCTGAACCTTTCAAGCAATGATGTTTTGCTTTCCTGTCGTGACTTTCATTTATGTCACTTATTTTTGAAGTACGATCTTTACTTCGTACTTCTTTACATGTTTCAGTTCGATGTCATTCATGTTCACCTTTTGCCTTGTTTGCGAACATTTTGATTTTGTGTTCCGCGCAATTTTGGCTAGGGTGTGGGGGGGGGGGTAGCACGTGACCCATCTGATTTTTTCCACCCCCTCTCAAACTCCGTTTTCCCTCCCTTATCTCTTGGGGGGGTGACAGGCGACATGACTTGTTGACCTGGAAACAATTACCAGACACTTGACTTGTGTTTGTGCGGTTTGACCTGGAAACAATTACCAGACACTTGACTTGTGTTTGTGCGGTTTCACCCCCGACTCAATTAAGATAAGCCAAGACAAAAAGTGATATCAAATAAATTTTGAAGTTTGATTGCTTCACCTTGTGCGTTGCGGTTTACGTTTGTTTGAATAAGAATTTTTACTTTACAAAGGGACGCGCGCAAACGACTGCTCTTTGCCAGTGGGCAGCTGTTCGGTAGACGAGGCAGGAACCTCGTTAAGTGTCCACGCACGTGCACAGCAATTGCAAGGTGCTGAAAGACGAAGCTGCAGAAGCCCTTAGGGTGCATCCGTGCCATACTTGTCAACAATCAGCCACGCAGGATTGTTGGACCACTCTCCAGTCATCTCCACATTGTGTGGACGCATCCTTTGATTACAAAGGGTATTGTGAGTGGGCGGGGTTGTTTTCGACGAGTGCGGAAGGATGTTGGGATTTTTCAGCGAGGAAGTCTCGCCTTGCCTCATCAAACAGATCAAAGAGGATGGTCAAGTGACCGTCATCCAAGAGCTTGAGATGCTGGCTCTCTTTGTAGCGATTGAGTTGTTGTGCTCCAGGTGGAACCACCATAGAGTGGTCGCTTTCGCAGACAGTGAGTCAGTAAGGGGGAGCTTTTTGAAGTCTTGGTCGATGAATGGGACAAATCACAAACTCCTCGAACGTGCCTTCAAAGTCGAAGAAAAGTTTGGATGCCAAGTTTGGTTGGAAAAGGTTCCCAGTCAATCCAGCCCATCCGACATCTTGGCCAGACTAAGTAGTCCTCTCTTGCGGTTTGTTGAGAACCAGAGTGAACCTTGAAGAGGTTTGGAACGGCTGGCCAACTCACCGGGGTAATGGCGCGACCAGCCAGTGACAATGCCCCATTTGGAAAAAAAGATGTTGCAGCTGCGTGATGGAACATGTTGGAGAGTAACATTGTGAGATTTTGGAATGAACAGTGAATACAGTAAGATACTCGCAGTATTGAGTTCAAACATGCTGGGGCGTGATTGTCATGATGTGTGCAGCCAAGTGTACTGACCAAAATAAGATGAGTCTCATGGCACATGACACCCCTTATTTTGTAGGAAACTTGGAATGAAACTTTGGTAAACGACTGCACACACACATGATCACATGATCAGTGTTTATCACCCGCCGCTGTTTGAACCTAAGCTTCAAGTGAAGCAACTTTGGCAAGTGCCAAAGTCAGGTCACATGTCAGGATGTTAGGATGTTCATTTCATGACGCGACATGTGAACTCATACATTTCAGATTGACATGATCAGTGACATTCACATTTATCATGTCAACAATCTTACATACCCAACCCTGGGACCCTCCCGAGCAATGAATACTGTTGCTGACGCCGATCTTCCTTTCAGACACTACATCAGTGCTCTCCTAGAGTTGCGCGCGCTCATTGCCAGAACCAAGGTTCAAGCTCAGCAATTGTGTGAGCTGCACGATGACTTACCTGACTTCCTAACAGAGCCCAAGTGGGCACTTCACCGTGCTCTTCAACTCTACCACCGTGCCGTGGAAGAGCTCGAAAAACATGAAGCAAGTTTGACACTTGTGATCCGAAATACCTTGGTTCAGACCTACTGTATGTCGAAACTGGAAGATTTCCGCGATGAGTTCGCTTTGATCATGTGATCTCCACTGCCACTGCGAACTGGCCGAGTGGCCCGACTTTTTACTTAGCGCATTGCCTACCCACGGCCATGGCGGGACCAGCCAGTGACAACACCCCATTTGGAAAAAAAATGTTGCAGCTGCGTGATGGAACATGTTGGAGAGTCACATTGTGAGATTTTGGAATGAACAGTGAATACAGTAAGATACTCGCAGTATTGAGTTCAAACATGCTGGGGCGTGATTGTCATGATGTGTGCAGCCAAGTGTACTGACCAAAATAAATTTTGAGTTGTTATGTTTCGTGTGGGCTCAAGATGTCTGTTGGCGCGTTTACATGTGTAATATATCGCGCTATGCATGGAATGATGTATGCATGGATGTTTATCACGTGTCTACTTGTTGGTTGTGCAGTGCGAGGAGTCAAAATCGTCTGTCAGATAAGGACCGTGTCATCAGAGCAGCCGCATTCGAAGGAAACAAACCTACTAAGTGGCAAATTCCATGTGCGATGCGAAAACAACACATCAAATCTCTAGGGCGGATTGTGTTGCAAGATGCTGCGAATATGATTTTTTTTGGCGACGAGCACGGCCTGCACCTAGGAAATAGAACAGAGAGGAAAGAAGCGGGCCTACTTGGCCCAATCAAACAAACTTAGGCCGAAGACGAACCAATATGGGCCAATTTGGGCCCAAATTGCGGTGAAGCACCAACTTGGACCGAAAGGGCCCAACTTGAGCCTTATTGGGTCCAACATGGTGCAACTTGGGGCATGTTTGGACGCAAGTTGGACTTGACGCAACTTGGTCCTGTGGGGGGCCCCTGGGGCCAAAGTTAGGCCTAAGACCAGCCTGATGTGGGGAACATGGCTTCGCACGAGCCACCTGCAAAGCGATTTTTTTTGGAAATAGCGGTAAGAGTGCAAGTTTTCACCGTGCCGCATTGAGTCGCAGAATTGGCCCGGCGGCCCGGGCTGGGCGAAGCTTGAGTTGCGTTTTCTTGTGCCAACTTGAGCCCAAATTGGATCCAATTGGCAATGTTAACTTTGGATTGAAGTTGGACAGATGGACTCTAAGGGAACACTCCGCAACATGATGTGATCGATGCCAAAAAACGTGGGGCTGCAGTGCGCACCAATCCCAGCTGGGAAAATGACGTGTTTGAATGTGCACAGGGTGGTTTGACGAATAAACTTTTGTCACGTGTGACATTACTTTGTGCAGTTTGATGCAAAACACATGCGGGGTTTCGCCAATTTCCAAGTTTCGATGGCCCACTGTCCTCTCCATCACCTACACGTGTTGTTCAACCTAGAGAAATTAATGCGTGACCCCGCGCCGTATGAACGGCCACGCGCTACTCCCGAGTGCAATAGAAACAAAGTGTGAAGCAGCAGAATGTGATTTGGTGATTGAAACATGAAATTAGTGCGTGAACCAAGTGAGGACATGTTTTGACTGGACACTGTGGAATAATAGGGGGGCGCAGGCAACGGGACATTCCGTTTTTCATAAATATTCGATTTCCACGGGTCAGACATGTGCCTAGCGAATGGGTAACGTGAAATTTGTTTTTAGCAAACAATTTTTTGTGTCGGATTTACTTTACTGGAGCAACTCGGATGTTTCCGACTCAGTGAACAAATCGATGTTAAAATTGTACCAAAAACATATGTGCATTTGTTTCATACATTTTGTTCATGTTTTGTGTGCAGGTATTTTTTGCAACCATGCAACAAATTTATACTACACTGCTAGACCAATTATATATTGAATTTCATGGTGATTACATGTTGTTTTGAGGTGGAACCACCAATAACAAAAACAATTTATATTTTTAGTTCTTGAATTTGATTTTGAGAACAAAAACAACCGACCCGCGTAGTGTTCAAAACTTGACGGGCCGGTTGGCGTATCCACCTGTTGGTTCCAACATGTCAAATTCAGCGTCAAAACTGACGTGTGAACAGTATGACTTGGTCATGTGTCAAGAAAATGGGGAAGGCATATTCGGTTCGTACACCCAGTCTTGGGAATTTTGGCAAACATTTGCAGTTTTGTTTATTTGCAAAGGGCAGGGCAACCATTTTTCGTTTGTTGGAAACAAATTTTATCCGAAACCATGTTGCTCAGCAGGTGAATCGTTTTTGCATTCAAGTGTCCATTTGTTTTTATGGCATCATTTCAGTTGAACGTTTCTGTTGAACAACCGTTGCATTTTCTCCTATCACAAACATGTTGCATCAACAATTGTGATGAAATCCTTGAACTTTGCACATTTTGGCATTTTTGATTGATTTCAACTATGCCGTTTTCAGTGCGCTTGTGATGGTGGCAATCAATCAAAACAACCCAGGTTGTGGGGTCATGTTTGAGAAACACATGTGCTGCTGGACATGTTTAGCGCAATGTGTAATCATTTTGCACCTGACAGGTCCTGTCACCACGGCTTACAAAGTGCCTGTCGCGGAGACATGGGGTTGGGTTGCCAAGCGTATGTCAGATCATTTTGTGAGAAATTGGCAAAAATTTATTCAATGTCAAAATGCAAAGATCGAACGAGGTGTTGCTCCCAGAACGCAAATAGGATAATGTTCTCGTATGCAAACAGTCTGGAAAGTGTTTCTGTGATTTGGTGAGGTGTTTTCAGCAGCCCTTGTGAGGGTGTTGTGTGGGATAGCCGGGATCTGAGCTAAATGCCAAGTGCTTGGAAAAAACAAATGAAATCAGAACGATGTCGATGCCTTTTGGCTGGGATGGGATGTTACTACTAGATTTTCAATCATATACCAAGGCCGCGTGAATGTCAATTTTCAATTCATGATATGGGTGTGTGTATCAAACTGGGAATTATCCCCAAATCTAGTGGTTTAGCAAATTCTCGGGTATCCGCCCTTTCTGGACAATCCCATATTATACCCATATTGTCTTTCAGAGAAACATTTTTTGGTAAGGAAACCTACATGGCTGGACTGCGTGTCCTGCAGACGGAGCAAGTAGGCTGGGCAACAAAAACTTTATGAAGGCCACAACCTTGACGTTTTCTCGTTCGATTGTCGTTCGACGATTTCTGAAGGCCACAACCGCTGGAACCAGAAGTCTTTTCTCCTGCAGAGTTAGGCACCTGCAGAGCTAAGAATATGCAACAACTAGAAAACTAAGAAAGCTAAGACTAGTCACTTTCTCCGCTTCCAGGCATGGAAGGTGCAAAACTGGCTGCGATCCGACGACGGAGGTTGCGAAATTGCATCTGGTTATCCAGCAACACTGAGAGAAACCTTCCAAATTTCGACAATTTATGTGTAATTTTGTGTATCCTATTTTCATCAAGAGCTTGTAATTGGAAAATACACCCTGCTTTGCGTCTTCCAGATTCAGACAAGGAAATAAACTTAAGGTATGCGACAAATGTGCTGGACCTGACAGGGAGATGGAAGCACAGGTGCAGGTGCGCTGGCAACCTTTTTGCAACTATTCCCCACACATTTGCCTTTGGTCTTAGGGAGAACTTGAATCAAAAACGAGAGAAACATGTTCAGAAGAACATTTCTGGGCCGGATTATGGTGGTTTTAAGCTATTTGCGGGTCCCCAATTTGGAGATCTTTGTGGCAGAACATGGGATGCAAGCAATGAGCGAAGCGTCCACGCCAGGTGCAGATTCCACAGCGTCCAGGCCAAGCATTCCTTCCTTCAATTCCTTCGAAACATTAAGAGGATGGGACAGGCAGAAAGAGGTTGGAACAGGGGTCCAAACTTGCAGTTTGTTTTTTCCTTCAATGTTTTGATGGCATGAAACTTGAGGCGACGAGGAAAAGGTAGTCCAGCCCCAAGTTGCACTTTGCATGCCTTTTTGACTTTTCTCCTGCGCATGTATAAAGTTGTTGTCGCTGCAGTCTTCCAATGAATTTATCCCTTGGCTTGGGAATGATCTTTTAATTGTGTACAAGCCTGGACAAGCTTTGTATTTTTTTGCGTAGCTATGTATCATACAAGTAAAGCCCGGTCCAGCCGGGTGATGGAAGTTTTGAGAGAGGGAAGAACCTATAAAGACAAGGAAGAGCCTATAGGAACAGCGCTTGACCGCTTGGCTGGCACGGCCGTCGACTGCGTGATCTCTTGGAGGTCTTTGTCCTTGAGATTTCTTGCTCTCGACATCTTTGTCTGATGCTTCTCTTGATCTGGCTTGCTTCTGACATTTCTGAATCTTGACAGCCCTGCTTGTCGACAGCTCTGGGGCCGGAGACTTGACACCTCTTCTCTCCTGACAAGTTTTTTCTGATGTCATCGCTGTCTCTGGAAACCGATGTCGTTTCAGCCGCTTTCCGTTAACGTCTCTTTCTCTTGGCATCCTTATCTTTGGGCATCTCTTTTTCTTGAGACCTTCTATTCTCTTCTCTCCACATCTCATTCTCTTGACACCGTTTTCGCTTGGCACCATTTTTCTTGTTTCCTGTTGTTTCACACTTTTATTTTGAGACCTCTTTCTGTTAAAATTGTTTCCTTTGACACCTTCTGTCTTGAGGCCGTTTTTCATTCTCACATCTGTTTCTTTTGACATTTTCGTACCTCCTGTGTGCTACAAGACTTGCACAAAATCATTCCTGCACCACAAAACCTGCCCAAAGAACTTCCCAGTACTACTTCGTACTACAAAGCGTGCACACAGCACTTCCCAGTACTACTTCGTACTACAAAGCGTGCACACAGCACTTCCCAGTACTACTTCGTACTACAAAGCGTGCACACAGCACTTCCCAGTACTACTTCGTACTACAAAGCGTGCACACAGCACTTCCCAGTACTACTTCGTACTACAAAGCGTGCACACAGCACTTCCCAGTACTACTTCGTACTACAAAGCGTGCACACAGCACTTCCCAGTACTACTTCGTACTACAAAGCGTGCACACAGCACTTCCCAGTACTACTTCGTACTACAAAGCGCGCACACAGCACTTCCCAGTACTACTTCGTACTACAAAGCTCGCACAAAGTACTTCCCAGTACTACTTTGTACT